TGGGCGAACGGCCACGCCCCCTGGCGCCCAGCAACCCCAAATGGTTGGGGACCACTGTCTTACAGGTTTTCTTTCCTTCTGGCTACACTATTTTTTTTTTTTTTTAAAGGATATGGTCAACTTAAATCACACTTTCATACTAATATTTTGAAGAACTAAGGTCCTGATTCAGCAAAGACTTAACTTATGAGCTTAACATTCTACACAATGTGGTAAAATGATTAACCATTCATAAAGTTAAGCACATGATTTTTGTAGAATTGTTGCTTAAGATTGTTATAACAAAGACTAAAGGGAGAAAATATTTCCTTTTCATAGTTGGTGGATTTGATGGCACTTTCTGTATGAGTTGGATAACTTGTATAGTCACTTACCTACAGCAGTTGGGGCAGAAACAATATTTTCTTAAAAAAATTTTTTTTTTAAATAATTAGCAAGGAGACTACTTTGATATCTTTGTTATGCCCCTTACACATAAAATGATACTACTTGTAAAAATAGAGCAAGACAAGTCAATATTAAAGCTTGATTGCTTGATATGTCTTGCGTTTCAGATATTGTTAGTGGAGCATTGAATAAACTTAAATCTAACAGAACACCCTCCACTACACCTCAGCAAGACAGAAATGGTAGGTATTTAGTGTTTGCCCTAAATAGCGCCTCATGCAGTATCTTTAGATTTTGTGTACTATATTCTAGCAAGGCTCAAACTAATGATCATGATTTTAGTTTTATTCCAAAGGGTACCAGTTTCTAAACTAACTCTGGTCCATCGAATATAGTTACATTTTTCAGAGAGGATACTGCATTTAGTCTTAGAGCTTGCTAGCAGTGAGCAACCCTAGGATTAGAAATTAATATTCTGCTTATAGCTAATGCAAACTAAGGCTTGAATGCAGTAGGGCAGCACGCAGCCACATTGCATATTACAGAATGAATTTGTGCTTAAATTCAGATATTTATCTTGCTTTGCTCTGTCCTTTTATAAACTTGCAAAAGGTTTTCTTTCAATGGAGAATGCAGCTAAAACTCTTCCCACTTGTATTTTCTTGTCATACTAATCTGGTTTTTGGACTTTACTCTGCAAAATCTTATTAAAGCTATGTGAGTGACATTTCTGTTTTAAAATGCATGGTTTTTGGTTCAGTTTTGAATAACTGCTTGTGGAGAAACAAAACTGTCTTAAAATACTATATTGTTGATATCTTTCTAAGCTCTCACCTTTAAGCTCTTATTGCAGATGCAGCTTTATTAATTGTAGTCTTTCCATCAGTGACTCCAGTGATTCTTACTCCAAGCACCAAGCGTAAACTTCCAACTGATTCTTCTCAAGGCTTCTCTAGCAAGAAAAGGCGGTCCCTGAGGCATAATTTTGCTTTTGAGTTGCTCTCAAATAGCCTTTTTAGTAGCGGCTCAACACCAGCATCAGGTACAGTGACTTACATTGTAGCTTGAAGAGTTTCAGTTTGGGCTGTTAATAGTGGTTTAAAATCTATTGCTCTTAGTGAATGATCTATAGAAGAGCAATTGCACCCAAATAGCTTAATTTAATGATCTTGTTTCCTTGTGCTTTTGCACCCTGTCTATGGGAAATCTTATCTGTTCATATTGCTTAAGGTATGCTCTGTGCTGATAACTTTCTGAAATCTATGTATCCATAACTGACTTGTCTCTATACATCCATTCTGTGTTTCTGCTTGTTCGTGACAGCTTCTCTTGAAAGCACCTAATTAAAGTCTAGAGCATCTCAAGATTTAGGAACTCTTGAAATGTTGCCTGAAATGGCCAAAATAGACTTGCTTTTCTTCTCTTCGCAGCCTTCTGTATTTCACTGTTCACTTCACTACCATCTTTCCCATCACGCAGTCCTGCAATCTTGAGGGGTTTTTTGTCTCCTTACACTGTACATCTAGATCATTTTCAAATATCTCATATCTTTTGTAGAATATTACTACCATTCTTCTGTGGCCTTCTAAACACACTGTTGTCCTTTACTTCATACAAAATGCAGCTGCTAAAATAATCTTCTGAATCCTTCCACTGGCATTTATTCTGTATTGCTACTTGTCATCTTCAAAGCTCTTCCTAAATTTGCCCCATCCTACTTTCTTCTCTTGTCAAGTTTGTATTGACCTAATCTCCATACTGCCTGTATACCCAGGTTCATTCTTTCAGGTTTGTCTGTTTCTCACAGTCACCTGTATCTTGTTCTTTGTTACTGCACGTTACAATCTCTGAGTTTATCTGAAAGACCACTTCCGTGGATATGTTTAAGTCTTTAAAAACCCATTCTTATTAGGCTCTTATTGTGAACTGATTTGAATTAAATATAAACTACATTTTCCTGTTCTTCTGACCTCTTTATCGTTGTCATGATCTCACAAAACAGGAAGAGTGTAATGTTTGGAAAGCACTTAGTGCCTACTAAATGTTAGCATAAATATTGAAGATTCTTTAATCATATCTGCTGTGAAGAATAGGTAAGCAAAAGTACGAATGTTCTAGAAGATGCTATCAACCAACTCGACTTTCTAAGCAGGCTGAGGGATAAAACATTATATCCTTCATTATTATGCTTCTTAAAACTCTTCTGGCTAAAACTTATTCTTGATCTAGTGCTATCAAAGATCAAGAACACTTGTCATTTATAATCTTAAGACAAAAACTTAAATTTATTTTGATTTGTGTGGTTTTTTGTTTTTTTTTTAAAAATTTGACAACTCTTCTAATAATCAGTATGGAAATAACTTAAGATGTTACATAAGCAGCATGCACATTTTTGCACCTCTAAGTGTCAAAACAAAGTCATTTTGGAGTATGGTGACTTACCTCTTTTTAAGACTACAAGCAAACAGATTTGCTTCTGGGTCATTTTATCAAGAACATAGTGCTGAAAAATTGAGTGTTTTTTATAACTTTTTAAAAAACTCTTAATTGCTAATGGGCAAGGTGAAAATGAGATGCTTAAAATAAAAACCTAATGCCAGTTTTTTAAAACGTAAGAACACTCCTAAACAAGAACCTATTTATTATGTACATGTGTTTTTTTTTGTTTTTATTTTGTTGTTCCTGCAGCTCAGTTTGAAGCAAGCCCTTGTGTGTCTCTCGAGTCATCTCAGAGTTCACTGTCTCCCTCTGTCAGCAATGAAAAGCATCTGTCTAGTACAGGGAATCGAAGAAGTAAAAGAATTGCAAGCAAAAAAGTTTATAGGTAACGTCTTCAGTCACCAAAGTGATGCGTACACATTATTGAAAGTTAAAGGAAAAACCGTTTTTGTTTTGCTTTTCAATTGTCTTCTGGATAAAGATTTTCTCAACATTATTTTTTTACAAGTTTTATATGTAATGCGAATTGGTTATCTGTAGTTCCCCCTAACTTGTGTGGCTATGTAACTTTCCATTGAGCCCCATGCAAGAGCTCAGGGCTGCAGCAAAGAGAAATCTCCTATGACCTGAAGCTGGCATGGCTGGTGGAGGGGTGCCCTTCCCTACTGGCCCCAGCAGGGAACATCCTGGGTAAGCAACTCCCTGCCCTACCTTGAAACCACTCCCAGCCCTAAGCACCTTCCTGCATCCCAAAGCCCACATCCCCATCCCGGAGCCCCTCCCCAAACCTGGAGCCCACCCCACAGTTACACCTCCAGCCAGAGCCCCCTCCCACTCTCAGAACCCTTTGGCCCCATCCATGCAATATGCATTTTGTTAAATGTACCAATATGAAAGTGGTGATGATGATATGGTATCCTCTTGCACTAAGAATCCCTCTCTGGGGGAGGGAACTCCAGATATCAGGAAGAGGTAGGTGTTAATAATGGGGGAATCTGATCATTAAAAACATAAATAGCTGGGTTTGTGATGACCGGGAGAACTGTGTGGTGATTTGCCTTCCTGGTGCAAAGGTGGTGGATCTCTCGAAACCTCTAGATAGTCTTGTGTAGTGCTGGGAAGGAGCCACTGGTTGTGGTACATGTAGGTACCAGTGACCTAGGGAAGCTTAAGAGAGAGGTTCTGGAGGCCAAATTTAGGCTTCTGGGAAAGAGATTGAAATCCAGGACCTCTATGGTAGCATTCTCTGAAATGCTTCCAGTTCCACACACAAGTCCAGGTAGGCAAGCAGAACCTCAGAATCTCAAGGCATAGATGAGACTATGATGTAGAGAAGAGGGGTTTAGATTTATTAGGAACTGGGGAAACTTTTGGAGAAGCGGGAGCTTATACAGGAAGGATGGGCTCCACTTAAATGAAAGTGGAACCAGATTGCTGGCACCTAGTTTAAAATTTGGTAAGTTTTCAGAATGGAGAGAGAGAACTATTGGTGTTGTCCCCAAGTGTCCATACTGGGACTAGTCCTATTCAATCTATTTATAAATGATCTGGAGAAAGGGGTAAACAGTGAGATGGCAAAATTTGCAGATGATACTAAGCTGTTCAACATAGTTAAGACCAAAGCAGACTGTGAAGAGTTTAAAAAAGATCTTACCAAACTTAGTGATTGGGTAACAAAATGGCAAATGAAATGTAATGTTGATAAATGTAAAATAATGCACATTGTATAATTGGGATTATTTTTTCCATACAACATGATGGGATCTAATTTAGCTGTAACTACTGGAGAGAGGTCTTGGAGTCATTGTGGATAGTTCCCTGAAAACATCCACTCAATATGCAGCAGCAGTCAAAAAAGCAAGCAACGTTAGGAATCATTTAAAAAGGGACAGAAAATAAGACCATCTTATTCCTTCTGTATAAAACCATAGTACGCCCACATCTTGAATACTGCGTACAGATGTGGTTTCCTCATCTCAAAAAAGATATATTGACATTGGAAAAGGTTGAGAAAAGGACAATGAAAATGATTAGGCATTTGGAATGGATCCCATATGAAGAGCGATTAAAAAGACTGGGATTTTTCATCTTAGAAAAGAGGAGACTAAGGGGGGTATGATAGAGGTCTATAAAATCATGACTGATGTGGAAAAGGGGAATAAGGAAAAATTATTTACTTGTTCTGAAAATATAAGAATATGAGGTCACCAAATTAAATTAATAGGTAGCAGGTTTAAAACAAAGAAAATGAATTTTTTCTTCCTGTAGTGCTCAGTCAACCTTTGGAACTCCTTGAAAGATCAAGACTTTAACAGGGTTCAAAAAAGATATAGATAAGTTTGTGGAGGTTAGGTCTATCAATGGCTATTAGCCAGGATAGGTAGAAATGGTGTCCTAAGTCTCTGTTTGTCAGAGGCTGGAAATGGACGACAAAAGAGAGGGGTCACGGGGTGATTACCTGTTCACTCCCTATGGGGCATCTGACACGGACCACGTTTGGAAGACAGGATACTGGGCTAAATGGACTTTTGACACAGTATGGCCATTCTCAGGGCTTGACAAATAATGCAAAACCCTACTTGCCAGACAAAAAAGGGACTCGCCACTCCCACTGCTCTGGCATGTGCCACCATAAAACAGGACGGCTTGTTTGCTAGTGTGATGGGGCTGAGCTGCCTCGCAGCAGCGAGAGCAACCCGCCCCGCACTCCAACGGCGCCAACCCCCGTGCTGCATGGGGAGCGCAGCGTTCTGACAGTGGTCTGTGCTGCTTGCTCCCATGCGGCCGCCCAGCTGAGCGGCGAGGGGGGGGCCCTGAGTCCTCGGATGGGAGCCAGAAGCGGGGGCAGGGCCAGAGGGAGAGGGGAGAACAGAGGAGTGAGCTAGAAAAGGGCAGAGGAGTGAAGGGTGAGAGCAGAGGAGGGAGGCGGAAGACGGAGGAGCTGGTAATATCTACTTGCCACGGGCGAGCGTATTTATCAAGCCCTGGCCATTCTTATGTATCACATATTGCCTCCACGCTGGTGCACATAAGAAAATTTAGTTCACTCTGGGGTGGAAGAAATTAGAGGGAACACTGGTGATCTGCCCAGATTTCAACAGCCAGATGTGCACACCAAACTGCCATGACATTTGGGTTTTTTGTTGAAATGGACACTGACATGGTCGTGCATGCCCGTACACACAAAATATGGAATAAACTTTTGTCATAAAGTTAAACTGAATCAAATATTAAACTGTTTTATTAATAGTGTAAGTGTTTAAAATCGAATAACTTTTAAAAGTACTCTTAAAAGCTGTCAATTTTCATTTGGGTACTCCTTCATTCTTATTTCAGGTCTTGGTGGGTCCTGACCTCTTTTAAATATCTCTCTCTTTGAAGTATAATATACTGAAAATTCAAAAAAACAGTCATTTCCATTTCTGAAACATACAAATGTTAATTCCTTACTTGTGTGGAAAAAAGTTTTTGTAGTACTGTTTGCTTTTTGTAACTCTTAAAATTCTTCATCGCCTTATCAGTGTCAGAATACACAATATTTTACAGGCAGTCCCCAGGTTACATGGATCCGACTTGCATCGGATCCCTACTTACAAATGGGGTGAGGCAACCCCGCACTAGCTGCTTCCCCCCAGCAGACCAGGGAGACGCGGAGTGCTTTTCTCAGCAGAGACCTCAGCTTGAGAATAAAGGACTGAGGGAAGTGAGGTGTGGGAGAATAAAACTGAGCTCTGGAGAAATGTTTGGCTAGAGTTTCCCCTACAATATGTACCAGTTCCGACTTGCATACAACTTCAACTTAAGAACAAACCTACAGTCCCTATCGTGTACATAACCCGGGGACTGCCTGTAATTAGAACTTCATGGATCCTCTTTCTAGTATTTTAAATTATTTAATTTATGCCTCCCAGGTTTGTTTGTGAAGCACTGCAGCAGAGTACTATTGCACTAAAAGTTCAAAGTAAAAGGGCTTGGAAGAAAACCTATTGTAAAGAAAATAATATATGGAGATTATCTTTCCATGCACTTTAAAAAACAAAACTTACATAACTTTTCAGGGTTGACTCGGGAAAAACTGGTTGCTTCTCTCCAAAGATTAGCCGAAAAGAAATGGTTCGCAGGTCATTACGTCTGAAATTTAGCTTGGGAAAAAGCAACAAAGATGTAGTAAGTACTCTTCTACTATCCTATTCATCTTTCTTGTAGCTTATTCTATGGCTCTGGTTTTCAGCCTGTTGTCCACAGAGCCCTGGCAATCTATGGACTGTGCCTCAGATTTCCAAAGGGGGGTCTGCACCTCCATCTGAAATGTTTTAAGATCCACTAATGGAAAAAGATTAGCCTTTTTAGGATATATTACAGGTTGGACCTCCTTAGTCCGGCACCCTTAAGCCTCCTCGATCCCAGACAGGGAAGTTTTCTGGACCTGGGAGGTGGGGCTCTCGCTACATTTCAAAAGCGGAAGCCCTGCAGGGAGCGTGGGACCAGCGGGACACTCCCTCCACACTAGTTCCACGCTCTCTGCAGCACCTGAGCCTTTGAAATGTACAAGAACCCTGGAGGCTCTTGTAAATTTTAAAAGCAGACTTGCAGCAGAAGCAGTGCAAGCAAAGTGTGCTTCAGTCCCCGCTCCTGCTGTTTCCACTGTGCCTTTTTTCTCCCCTGCCCCCCTGTGGATACAGTGCTGGGGGAAACCAGCTTTTAAGCCAGCTCCCCGCAGCACTGGCTCCTGCTCTCCCCACCCCACCCCCTTTGCTGCCTCTCTCTGATAGAGGCAGCGGGATGGGAGGGGGAGAGTGACTAATCACATCACTAGTCAACTATCTGATAAGCTGCTGCTTATGAGATAGTTGACTAGTCGGTTACATCCCTAGTCCCTGCTCTGTCCCATCTTTCGTTGGTCAGGGAGCTACCCCTGCTGCGGCTCTGCAGTTAAAATGTAGTAGGAGCTGGGCTTCCAACCCCTCTCACTTTCCTTCTGGGGTTGGTGGGAGGGCTGGAGTGCACAAAATCTACTATCCTGGGCCATCCTAGGCTCTGATGTGCAAAGGGAATGTGGGGAATGTCTTTCTCCTTCTCAGTGAGGGTCCATGTCACATCAGTGTGGGTTTGTGTGTTTTGCTTTTCATTTGTGTGTGGCCCCTGACTGATTTTTCTGTGAGTCAGTGGCCCCGAACCCAAGAAAGGTTCCCCACCTCTGGACTAGTCAGTTAGCAACCTTTTAACATCCATAGTATAAACAATATTTTTAAAAGCTCATTAAATGCTCTGCTAAGGCCTTCACATTTTCAAGTGACAGTGGAAAAAATAAAGTTTGAGAACCACTGCTGTATAGTATACAATGTAGAACTCAAGATTTAGTAAGTTGGACCTGGTTTGTTTTGTTCATATTTATGAAGCTCACTTTTAGCAGTTGCTGCAAATTGGAAAAGTATTTCCTGAATTGTAGATGTCTGTTGAAAAGGTCTACAAAGTAAATTATCTAAATTACTTCCCCATGTTCAGCTTCTTAAAAAGATTAAGTTTAGTTTTCTTTTTCCCCCCTCCTTAAGACTATTTTAACTGGATGTCCAGTTGGTAAAGGATCTGAAAACATTGGCCGGCGACTTGCAAGTCAGCAAGACTTGGAAAACAGAGTTGAATCTGTAAAGACAGATACACTTTTCAGTACATGTGTCAATGAAAAATTCTCAAAGAAAGGTAAATGTCTTGCAAATACCTTGCTGAATATAACTAAAGAGAAAGCTTCATGTATTTTTGTGAAGTAAGATAGGTTTTTAAAGCTAAGATATTTTTTGGGTATCTGCACTTATTAAAGGCACTGAAAAGGAGTTAGACAATAGAAATATTCTTGGGAAATACAACAATTTGTATTTGTCATTATAGATAAAAGTAATTTCTCCTAACATGTATGCATTATATCATGCCTTCTTTCACATTTGAATCTAATTGCCCTCTTTAAAATTGTAAGCTGTTTTTGAAGGATTTTCCTCTTTGAAATTGAGACTTACAGTATCATATAACATACTGTATCAGTGAATGGTGCATGGCTTTAAATTTGTAATGTTTTTAATGAGTTATCAGCAAATAACAAATAATTGTATCAAACTTCTTTCAAGGTACACAAATGATTAGCAAGTCAGAGGAGAACTTGCTTACTCCAAAACATGATAAAGCAAGTTATCGAATGTCTTGGAATGGATCCAGTATTACAGATTCACATAGCACCAGCAATGAGACCAGTCTGATGGGATATCTTGAACAAGAAGGCCATTCTTCAGAACCTGTCCTTGTAGTTGGAAAACCACCTGTCATTCCAGATGACTTGAGGTCCACTGCTGCAAATTATAAGCAAGATAATAGTCCAGGGGAATACTCACCCTTTGTGGATGAGAAAAACGTGACTACACAAACATTACTGAAAATTAAAAAAGCATTTTCGGAATCTGGAAGTAATCTTCCAAATTTAATAGGTGATGCAAAGTCTTTAGCAGATTTAACAGAAGAAAAGTTAACCGAAACTCCCTGTCTCACAGCGTTTAGTCCAGAGAAGGACATTTTTGAAACTTCAGCTGACAGTTTGACAGTAGAAAAATCCAAGGATCAGTGTAATCAGTCTGCAAGTAAATCTTATGCTACTGACAAAAATCAGCCAAGTAAAGATGAAATCAAGTTTGTGGAGGAAAATTGCTTCCTAAATCCTATTGAGATTGAGCATCAGACCCAAAAATTGGGCATGGAAGTTGCATCAGAACTTAATATGCCTCAGGAAATGTCCAGGGAGGGCAAGGTGACTTTTCAGCACAATTATACAAATTATAATTTAAAAGCAATAGATTCCCTCAGAAGAAAAGAGGGTGAGGAACTGGAACAATCAGGAGTTGCTAAAGAATATGAGCTGAAGTCCCATAATTCAGAAAAAGGTAATACTGGACCTGCTACTTCAGGGGAGCTCCCTGCCTTACGGTTGCTGGAGTCTAGAAAGAGAATTGACAAACACTATTTGCAGGCTGGAGATTGTAATAATGCTATAGCTAAAACTTTACCAGTTTCTGACCATGGAAAAGTGTCTGACCATGTACATTGGTTCAACAAACTTTCATTAAACGATCCGTGTTCCGCTAGCAAAACTAAACCACCTCTTAAGTTTCAACGTACTCCTGTCCGCCAGTCTGTAAGAAGGATAAACTCCCTTTTAGAGACTAACAGACAATCTATGAGCTATAAACTGGCAAAACCTGGTGACTTTTGTTCTCCTCTTGTTAAATCAGTAAGTTATGATACTGCACTATCCTCCTGTACAGAAAAGTTCTGCCAAAATTCCACAGTTTCATTGCTCTATTGTGAAACTACACACATACAAGTTTCTACATCATCTGAATTAGAATTAACATCAAAATCTTCAAAATTGATAAATCCACTAGAACAGGCTGATTCTTCTATGAAAACGGTTAGACTCTGCAAGCAGGCAGTGACTACTGGTAACCCATCCAAGTCTGTCCTAGAAGATCTAACTAATCATGAAGCACCAAAAGCTGCTGTAAAAATGAACTCCTCTATCAACATTCCAATTGCTACACCAGATAAAAGTACCCTCAAGAAAAGTGTTACAGGAAAAGAAAAGGCTCGATACAGAGGATCTCCAAAGAATCCAATATCAAAAGCAAAACTCCTCCCAACTGCTAAACCTGTAGATTTATAAGTATTAATTTGACTGACTAAATTATCTAGAACTACCTTTAACATTTTTGGGTACATTAAGTCTGAATATGATTCTTAATTTTGTTTTTTTGTAAAATAGAAATTTCTCCTCTTTTTTTAACTTGTACCAGTAAATTTTATTCTTTGTATGATATTGAGTATTTTTCTGTTTACTGTGACTTCTTATGATTATTAGTTTGCTGCTCATTTTAATTTTGACTAGATTTTTAAAAACTAGAAAAATCTAGTAAAATTTAGAAGTTATAATTGATTGTGAGTTTTTCTCAGTTATTTTTAGAAATAAGTGCCTGACGAGACTTATCTGGTTTTAAACTTCAGTATCAATGTAGACTTTACTGTATTGCTCCAGTTTCTGTGTGGCCTTGTATATAAGCCAGGGCACCTTTAACTCCCCCCCCATTAGGTGCATTTTTGGTCTATGCAGCTATGCTCCTGTCTAATCATGTGTGCACAGAAATTGGAGAAATGGTTTGAGCACATGAAAAATGAATATGCAGTTAGATACTGATGTATTAAAAATCTTAGTACAGTACACTTGGCAGCAAGCACGCCCATAGCAGCCCAAGAAGGGAAGTTTGGCTGGGCCATGTGAGCCTGGGCGGCGGTGGGGCTGCAGCAGCCCAGGTGGTGGCAGTGGCAGCATGATTGGGGCTGCTTATCCCCTGGCAACGGGGTTGGGGCTATGGCCACAGCAGCCTGAGAGGGGAAGCCAGCCACAGCAGCATGGCCATGTGCCACCCAACAGTGGGGTTGGGGCTGCGGCAGCCTGATGGGGCAATGTGCTGTTTGGCAGTGGAGCTGGAGCTGCCCGGCTGGCTGACAGCAAATTCCAGGCTGTGTCTGGCCCGCAAGCAGCCCAGATGGGCTGAAGGAACGGGCAGCGGGAAGGGGCAGCAGTCTGAGGGGCTGGTGTCAGGCAAATTCCCTCATCCAGAACCAGTCAGGTCATGAGGATGCTGGACAAGAGAGGTCCAGCCTGTGTATTGCTATTTTTTTCTAGAGCAATGTAATGTAGCTAATCATATGATCCAAAATTAAAGTACACTGTCATGGAAATAATGGAAGATAATGTTAAAAGCCATACTGTTAAGTTCATTTGCACAAACAGATGTTTGTATCTGTCTTAGCATTAAAACTGTTTACATCTATGTTATATTCATTGTAAAATTATTTAAGAGTAAAAACTTAAAGCTTTTCAATTGCTGGTTTCTGTATGAGTAGCTTGTTGGCAGAATTTAAGAGCTTTTGGTATGTATTTAGTTTTGTCAAGCTTTTATTTTTGGGTACCTTGTTTGTGAATGTTCTTTTGACAGCACTGATCCATATGCTATACAGAAAAAATTACTAAGGACATTTGAGACATTGTCATAGCGTGTGTGTGTGTGTGTGTGTGTGTGTGTAGTTCTATCCAGGCACTCTATCATCTTGAGACTTATTTAAAAGTACAATTTGTTTATGACTCCATTACTTTTGTTACACCGCAGACCACCAAAAGCCAAGCAGAAAATAGGCAGTGAGAAATTCTCAGTCTCCTAATGCTGTGCACTCTAAAAGCTAGGGGATGTATTTAAGCTTCTAATTTTGCTCCAAGCTTCAACAGATTTGGTCTTTTAACCTGTGGAGAGGAGTGAATTCCAAAGTTAAATGGTCTTTATATTGACTATCTTAGCAGCACATTTTTATGGCAAGAAGGCTAGAGAAAGCCATGGGCCAAAAAATACATGGTCAAGGACATACCATGGTCAAGGACCATTTAGGCCCTTGATGGCTCTTTAGGGTAGAACTCAACTTCTTAGCGTCCGTCTGCGCTTCAGTGAGAGACGTGTGGTTGGCCCATGTTAACTAAGACTTCCATGGTTCTTTTACTGCAATGTGAATGTTCATCTTTGGGCAGCAGCCTGAGATGTAGGACTCTCCAAAAAGAGTCAAAGTACTAGAGCATGGAATACAGTCTGAACCTGAATGTCTATACTTTAATTAAATCACCCCTCAGCCTAAGTCAACTGGTACAAGCTAGCTGAGCATTTTTAATTGATATATAGTGAGACCCTTAACTTCCACTCAACTAATGGGCAGCCACAGAGGACACGGTGGGTGTGTCTAGACTACAGGGTTTTGTCCACAAAAGTGGACTTTTTGTTGACAAAACTATACCTGCGTCTACACTATCACCGAGTTCTGTCGACAGTAAGTTGACAATGCGGCAGTTTTGTTGACGGCGGTAAACCTCATTCTACGAGGAATAATACATTTTTTCGACAGAATTATGTTGAAAAAAGGTGCTATTGCATCCACGCTATGCTTTTTCAAAAGAGCGTCTAGACTCTGTCGAAAAAGCAGCTTGCTTTGTGGACAGAACTGGGTGTAGGTCTAGACACTCTTTTTTGACGAGGCTTTGTCGACAGTATCTGTCGACAAAGCCTCTGTCGAAAAAAGCCTGAAGTCTAGACATACCCCTAGTAAAGTACCATAATTTTCATCTACTTCCACTTCCTGGATAGATTTTGGTAAAAGATTGCTGTAACATCCTGGCTATATGTAAAGGGAAAATTCAAACCTCTCTCATATTAACAAAGCTGGTATCTGCACAATTCAGGGGGACAGATACTCATAGTTGCCACAATCATCTGTTTGCTTGTTCAGCCACTTTAGCTTTATCTAGCTCCATGCCTTGTCTCTGCCCTGCTTAGCCAGACACTGCTCACAGGCAATTTATTGCTTTGGTGGGCAAAGTCTTGCGCTTTAGTTTTCTCCTGATTGTTCCGTTACTGCCTAGTGGGGAGGGGAGGAGGAAGAATGCTTATTTGTTCTCAGGGTGACTTTTCAGATTGTGATGTAGGGCCGATTTCAATTGTGGGCTACTTAAGCACTGAAAAACTAATTATTTTTTTTTGTAGGTAGTAATTTAGAAATTAGTTAAGTCCTGTATCTAATTTCTGTATGAATATACAAACAACTCCCCCCGCTCCCCCGCCTCACATCCCCCAGTTAGTCATATTTTATCTTTAAAACAGCAAGATATTCTTATCTCTAGCATTGAAGTATCAGTTTTGAGTCCTTAACACAGATACCAGAAATACAGCACAAAGTATTAAAGTTGTATCTTTAGCAGAGAAGTAAAATCTCCTTAAAGTCTTTATTTTCCTCTGTATTTGTTTTTAAACTGCTTGTTGCAAATTGTGAAGAGGAGAATGAGTTAGTTTGTTGCAGGAATGTTTAAAGGTAAATTATTGAAAACAAACCTCCAGGTGTGATCTAAACTAATGGATAATATTGTCATCTCCTCTTGGCAAGATTGTTGATGGCTGATATCTAAGTGTTTTGATGCTTCAGTCACAGGCTAAAATTACCAATCACTTAAGCACCCATCTCCCACTGTGGCTCTTAAGTAGGCCTTTATTTTATCGAGTACAGAGAAGTACCTCTTATTTGATGCAGAAGAAACTGTATGGGTCAACATAGTATTGTAGATGTTGTGAGAGCAAAGACTTCTTGGTAAGTCAGTGAGAGTGTTCCAAAATTCAGAAATTGAAGGTTTTTTGGTCCAATGTGCTTCTTGGCAATTTTGACTTCTTCATCCAGATCACTAGCGAGAAAGTCCAGAATAAGACAGAAATCAAATGATAGATTCTTGAGTGATCTTTGAAACACCATCTATAGATGACTGACCGAGTATACTAGAAACAAAAACAAACCAAAAAAAGGCCAGCTCAAATGACTATTTGTCAAGTGGTATTGCTGTTTTTTGTATTGCTGTATTTCAGCAGTTATGACTGCCTAACCCAGAATAGCAATTTCAAGTTCCTTGGCAATGATTTCAGTTTCACATAACTTCTTCCATTTGCTTTCAGATGTTTCCCTTCATAGGTGTGGGAAGTTAAGGTGTGTAGGGAGTGCTGCAGCAGTCCCAGGTTTTCCACCCAGCTTCCTTGTGCCCATGGATTAGTCCCATGTCCTGGCCTCCAGGTGCCCCCTATCGGGTCCTGTAAGCCTCACCAGCTGTAATACTAACATGTTCGAACATCTTGTTACAAGTAATGTAAGCGGCATGTTTAGGTTTAAAATTGTAATTGGTATATTCTTTGTTACTATTTCTTGACTACAATTGAGACAATTGTAGAAAATCTAGATTACTTTCTATTGTTTGGATGATTTCCTTTTGGAACTAGGTTGGACTAGAATAGATTCTAGTACAATGTATGCAAAAAATTAAATGATCTGTTACCCTACTACTAATAGACTAGAAACTGACAAGAATGAAATACACTTTCTAGTCACTTTCTCTTCTGTTTAAAGAGCTAGTTATTTTTCAGAAGTCAAGTCGTAAGCTCAGCGCTAGTTACTGAGTTGCAGTTCTCACAGAGAAGTATTTAAAACCAAACACCAACAAAATTCCTCATTTTAAAGTTAAAAATGAGTCTTTTAATATTAAAGTATCATTCTGTATTTGGATACTGTGCCTCTTCTCATTCCTGTAAAAAGAATATTTATACTTGCTTGCCTGTCATATGACATAAGACTTGGATTGAGAGCTGTAGGGCAGGTACTGGCCCTTCTTAATAGTTCGTATGGGGCCTAGCAGAATGGGAGACTCCTGCTGATTAAGGTCTTTGGGGACTGCTATAACAGATGCCTGCTGTTAGCAACTGAAGGGGATTACAGAACAATCACAGTGGGCCAGTAGCACAGCCTTCATCCCCTGCAAGTTCAGCACCTTCTAGGAAAAGGTGCCACATGCACACAAATACACCCTACCCTTGAAGCTACAACTGCAGCTGGCCATGATGGCTCTAGACCAGAAAGTTCTGTCCCTAGTCTCTTAAGAGTCAGTTTGTCGTCAGAGAAGCAGGGAGCCCTCCAACCTCTTAAGACCTACTTAGTCAGTCCTGGGGTATGTCTACACTACAGAGGTTTTTTTTTTTTTTTTGAAAGTCAATTTTTCCAAAAAATGTCACTTACATCCACACTGCAATCGTGTTCTTTTGAAAGAAAATCGAAAGAACGGAGGGGTTTTTCCAGCAGTGATAACAGCAGTGGTAATCCTCTTTCTATGAGAGAGAGAGAGAGGGAGAAGCCTTTTTCCAAAAGAGCTCTTTGGAAAAAGGCATGTGTGGATGGGAAAGAGGGAGTTTTCAGAAGAAGAGGAAAAAGCACAACTGCCCTGGTGGCCACTCTGTCCATAGTAATCACAGCTTGAATGGACGTTACCTTTCAAAAAAGCAAATAACTTTTTCTATGCTGTTTGCCAGTGTGAAAGAAGCCTGCAGTCTAGACATAGCCCTGGTTCCCCCCTGTCCCTAAGGATCTTTGCCTTAGGGTAGGGCTACTCAACTTTGGAGCCTCGTGGGCCATAACGATACAGCACATGCTGAGGGCCGCAACTTAAGTGTGGCTGTGTATCTTGCAAATAGCTTCTTTCACACTGACTGGCATGAATACAAAGATTAAGGCAAGACTACACAACACAGAGGCCCCATTTAAGTCACTTCTGCTGATAATAAAATGCAATATTTACCTGATTTTCACCCCTATAACAACACTTTCAATGAACATTGCCAGTCCAAGAATTTAACTACTAAAATGCATATCAACAGGAGACCATTATATTGACTACTTTTTGTTTTAGCTTCTGCCTGTGGGCTGCAAACAAATGGGCTATGGGAAGGGTGTTGAGTAGCCCTGCCTTAGGGACTATTCCTTCTCCACTCACTGCCCCTCCCACAGGGCACAGTCCTCTATACCCTCATTTCTCCCTTTCTGTGGAAATTGACTCCCCTCACCCATGCCTGGATTCCTATGCTCAGTTTCTTCTTCACCACTGGGAACCCTGTGCTTCTGTCCTCTCTTCCCCCAGAATTCAGTACCTTGTTATTCTCCCACCACCACCATCCCTGGGGCCCCTGTGATTCTCCATCTCCCCTTCCCCCCGCGCGTGTGCACACACACACACACACACACACACACACACACACACACTGATCCCTTTCTTGCCTGCTCTTTCCAGAGGCCTTATTCATGGCTAGCTGCACTGTGCTGCAGATAAGAGCTCTGGCTGGTAGGTGCACAGTAAGCAGAACTCAACTACAAAACATGGGACAGGGAGCACAGTGCTAGGTGCCCCTATCTGGGCAGACATGAGTGGGAGTGAATAAGATCTTCCTGTTTGGGTGACTGGAATAGTGTCTTTAAAGGACTTGCTGAAACTGATCCAATTCAACAAGTGATCCAACACTGCCAGAATAGGAAAAAAGGATTTGATTCTTATGGGGTCTCCTACCTCTTGAGTGAGGTCTTTAACCACTAGGCTGTGGGATATTCAGATGTGAGAAGTTCTCTCAGTCTCCTGTTTAAGCAGATCTGCTCTAGATAAATAATGGAAGAGGGATTGATGCTGGGGGACTGGAGCTGGGCTCTCCTACTTCTGCAGTAGGTGTCCTAACTTCTAAAATGCAGAATCTCTCTCTCCCCCATCATTCTGTTTAATGTCTAGTTTCTCTCTACTAAATGTTTGTTTAATTTAACGATTGGAGAATTACCTCCTTACGCAAGACATGGATCCACATTTGCAGTATAGTACGTTAGTGGTACCAATTTCCCACAACATTGACCCTGGAGTTACTATGAGTCTTTTAGTTGTGAGTTTACTACCTTAGCCAAGCAGGATATTTAATGACTAGAAAAATTTCTCCATCATACACTAGCGTGAGTATACTAGTCAGTCAACTATTGATCTTGAAAGTGGTAGAGGGATTTTGAAAACATCCTGTTTGAAAATCTCTGGGTGCTAATGTGAGGCATACAAAAAGCTACCCAACTGCCAGTAAGATCCAGGGAAGGGATAAGTGCATTGATCAAAATATAGCTCAGAAAACAAATACCAGAAGTTATCGAGCACAGCTCATTCAGACTGGTTCACTTTGGAAACTGTCTTTACTTAGGTTGAACAACTAAGTTTTATTTGTCAGTAACATTGGTGCTGTACAGTATAAAATCATTTTTAAATTACCATTTAAAAAAATCAGAAAAATAAATAATGGTTTTCATTTAGTCAAAGCTTTCTTTAAATTTAGCACTCAATCTTGCTACTTTAATTAGACCTAAAGAAGAGCTTAGTGTAGCTTGAAAACATCTTTCACAAACAAAAGTTAGTCTGATAGAAGATATTAGATCATTCATGTTGTCTTTCTAATATTTTGGGACCAGTCTGCCTACAACAACACTGCAAACAAACTTTAATCAGATTGCAATTGTATCCTCTGTGATAAGTGACTATAGCTTTGCCCAGTTGAAATATGTGCTCCTAGGGCACTCACAACAGTTGCTCTCTCTTGTTGTCTTGTAAACCTAAAGTTACACATCTAGGAAATAAATTCTGATCAGCTGTTGGCCAAAAAAGATAACGGAGAGTGGGAAAAGTCCAGTTTGTTAAATTATCTAAGTCTGGAAAGAGGAAAATTAATCTCAAATACCTTCCAGGCTTACCATTAGAATTAGATTTGTTTATACAAATAGAGTTTTTAGGGGGTCTTTAATATGGGTCTTCTACCTTTCGTATCCCTTGAACAAGGGCTGATTCCCAAAGGTGAGTGGCCCTTTCAGGCTCATAATGGGAGGAAGTAAACGTGCAGAGAAAAGATGAACTTCAATCCCTAGTGCAGTTTGCTCATGTTTTCCCCTATCATTTTGGGTTATGCTGTTGTAGTTCCTGTGTGAATGCACGGCAGAGGTGGGGGTGTATATAGGCTGACCATACATCCTGGATTTTCTGGGACACTCCCGATTTTAAATATTCTGTCCTGTTGTCCCCATAAACCATCAATGTCCTGGAAATGCCAATATTCTGGCATATATTTCAGCGGGGGGAGAAGCCCTGAGGTTAGAAGCCCTGAGGTTCTCTGCTGGGGATGGCTTGGGGGGGAGAAGAAGAGCAGCTAGAAGCGGCTGCATGAGCAGCTGCTCCCCCTCCCTGGCTGGGAGAACAGCAGTGCAGGGATGCTGGAGGCTTTTTCCATTGCTCTGGAATCCAGCCAATAGGAGCAGTATAAGTGTCTGGGCCATGGTGGTGGGAGCTGAATGAAAGCAAGTGGCCCCACTTACCCTCATGTCCAAACCCTGCACCCCCAGCCTGTTCACTCACTGCCTCCACTGAGCCCCTGCCACCCCAACCCCCTCACTCGTCGCCCTGCCGACACCCCACACACCAAGCCTGTTCACTCCCTGCCCTTTGATTTAATTTTTATACTTTTGTAAGACTTCATATCAATTCACAAATCAGAAAAAAATCCTTTGTCCGATCACTTGTCCCAATTTATGGTTTGGAAATATGGTCATGAATTCTATCTGGGCGCCAGTGCTGGGTAGGTAAGTGGGAGGTCGGAGCTGGTATGTCTGCGGGGTGTGTGACCCGCATACCGCAGTGTGTACATGGAGCATCGCTCCCTGGCTGCCCTGTGTGTGTGGAGGGGGGCACCCTTCCCCCCGCCCCTGCCGCAGCAGGGACACAGCGAGGCGGGGGAAGGGGGCTGTGACTGCGCATGAATGGTCGCAGCACAGGCCGCCGCCTTCTCCTCGCAGCCTCACTCCGCCTGGGCCACCCCAGCTGCACACCAAGAGCTCGCCTGCCCCGGCGCCAAGCGGTGAGTGCCGCGCGTCCCTCCTGGCCGCTGCTGGCAGGCAGAGGAGCGGGCTGGGTGGGTGGGGCGCGAGGAGGGGCGGGTGTTTTGTCCCCCGCTGCTGCTGCTGCTGAGCCCGGCTCCCCAGGGGGCACGAGCCGCTAGAGCTGTTTTCGGGTGGGGTGTAAAAGCAGGGATCTAACGGGGCCGGAGAGGCGGCGCACCGGGCTGCGTGTGTCAGACACACACAGGGGGCAGATTTGCCCCTTAGCTATCGAGTCGTCTGAAAGGGCCCATTTGCCTTTCAAACGCACAAGGTCCTTGTTGCTAGTGAGTGGGATAAAAGCCTTTGTCACGGAGATGAACTGAGAGCAAGGCCGGGTGGCACCCTGGACACACAGGGAGGGGGAGAATCTCGCTCCAATTTATTTCAGGTGGGATTTCGCTGCCATTATTGCCTCAGGACTGAAGGTCATTTTACTGCCCGTTATTATACTATAAAAATACCATAAAGGGGGAACCAGATCTTTTAAGGCTCAGGCTTGGCAAAGCAAGGCAAGAGAATAATAGAGGTTTTCATTAGAATAACCAAAGTGCTAGTAAATGCATGTTTTAATGACAACAGCTTTCTGCATTTGAAAGAAAAATGGAACCTTTCCGGCTACTAGATAGATAAGGGGTAAATCTGCCTCCTCCCTCCTGTGTGTGTGTGTCTGCCTGTGTCTCTCTCACCCTGTGTGCCTCCTCTCCAGCCCTATTAGAATACAAATCTTAAAACCACCCACAAGCAATCCTAGCGGATTATGCTCTTTGCAGACCAAAAAGGACAAGCCGATTGTTTAAAACCTAGTCTTAAAGGATTCTGTGTCTGCCTAAATGCATGCAGAGCGGCCATTTGGTGAAATGTATTCAAGTGGAATAAAAGAAGCCGGTTTGTTCCAGGTGAGAAGAAACGAAGAGACAGAGAGGGAGTGTAGGTGATGGGTTGCCAACCTGTGATGGAGATAAAAATGTGCAACCCATTAAAAAAAAACCTGGGAGTATTTAATTTCTTTGAGCAAGTGAAAGAGTAAAGTTTGAAAAGCAGAACATAAAACCAAGCATTTTCTTGCATTCCCTCTGTCCCTTGATGACATACTGTAAAATACTAAGTTAAAACGAAGAGAGGAAAAACCATGCCTGGTAACTTTACTTAGCTCATTTTTAACCCTTCAGTTTTTCAGAGTAAATCAGTAGGTTCATTTTGTTTAATTATGGCAGAAAAATAATCCAATAAATGCTACATACAAATCAATGTTATGCAGAAATGAACAGTTTACTGACTCCCACAGTCTTCTCCCCCATAATTTCATCTGTCTGTTTGAAAAATTCTTTTAGCTGATAATGGAAGCTGACCCAATAAGTTCTTTTTTATAAGCATACAGTATTTTACTGACTTTATCATCTATTTCATGTGTTTTATTTTCACAGGTTAGAAATGGCCACCAGAATGACAACTACGGTGCTTTATAACATGGTATTTTTGCTAGCATTTGGATTGGCTTTGGCTTCTAGTCATAGTCCTAGGACCCCAGATAGAGTTTCTGAAGCAGATATTCAAAGACTCCTTCATGGGGTTATGGAGCAGTTGGGCATTGCCAGACCCCGAGTAGAATATCCAGCACACCAGGCTATGAATCTAGTGGGTCCACAGAGCATTGAAGGTAGCTATTTCCTATGTTGCATTATATTGTGTTTCTTTTCATTCTCTTGCAGCCCATAGGCTATATAGACAATTGTTTTATACGTGTGGAAATGTTCCCTGTAAATTTGCAAAAGTCTATGCAATTTTCCAGTATGGACCTTTATTGTTCCTTGATTTAAAATCCCTATATCTAGCCTCTGTTTTGTAATTACACTCTCTTTTGAGGCTAACTAGGGTGCTAATCTACAGGTTACCTTGACAAGAGGAGAATGAGGAGGTTTGAGTGCACCTGCTTCAGACACCAAGTACTGTTGTCTTGGTGATTCGTGACCTACAATGGCTGAACAGAAGAGTTTCTCACAAGGTCCTGCCCAAGTGTTCTATGACTAACATCCTACATGTAATCACTGAACATACATAATCTCCTTCACTTTCTGATCCTACTTAATCCACTGAACATACATAATCTCCTTCACTTACTGATCCTACTTAATCACTTTGCATTGTGTCAAGTATCAGAGGGGTAGCCGTGTTAGTCTGGATCTGCAAAAGCGACATGGAGTCCTGTGGCACCTTAGACTAACAGATGTATTGGAGCATAAGCTTTCATGGGCAAAGACCCACTTTGTCAGATGCATGTAGTGGAAATTTCCAGAGGCAGGTATAAATATGCAGGCCAGAATAAGGCTAGAGATAACGAGGTTAGTTCAGTCAGGGAGGGTGAAGCCCACTTCTAGCAGCTGATCTGGAGGTGTGAACACCAAGAGAGGAGAAACTGCTTTTGTAGTTGTCTAGCCATTCACAGTCTTTGTTTAATCCTAAAATGATGGTGTCACATATGCAGATCTCTTTGAAGTCTGGTCTCCAAGGTTTTTTTTGCTGCAGGATGGCTACCTTTAAATCTGCTACTGTGTGTCCAGGGAGATTGAAATGTTCTCCTACAGGTTTTTGTATATTGCTATTCCTAATACCTGATTTGTGTCCATTTATGGACAGTCCCTACGTAAAAGAATAAATGGACACAAATCAGGTATTAGGAATAGCTATATACAAAAACCTGTAGGAGAACACTTCAATCTCCCTGGACACACAGTAGCAGATTTAAAGGTAGCCATCCTGCAGCAAAAAAACCCTTCAAGACCAGACTTCAAAGAGAAACTGTTGAGCTACAGTTCATCTGCATATGTGACACCATCATTTTAGGATTAAACAAAGACTGTGAATGGCTAGACAACTACAAAAGCAGTTTCTCCTAGCTGCTGATCTGGAGGTTTGAACACCAAGGGAGAAGTGGGCCTCACCCTCCCTGGCTGAACTAACCTAGTTATCTCTAGCCTTATTCTGGCCTGCATATTTATACCTGCCTCTGGAAATTTCCACTACATGCATCTGACAAAGTGGGTCTTTGCCCACGAAAGCTTATGCTCCAATACATCTAAGGTGCCACAGGACTCCTTGTTACTTAATCACCTATTCATATATTTCTTAGTAGATTTTTGTGTGAAGCAGATTGATTCTGAACAAAATTCTGGTGCTCTACATGGGTAGTGTACCAGGGTACACTCACGTCTCTTGTGAGTGCCGCTGGCTGAGTGCATATGCCTGCAGTCTGTCTCTCTGTGGTATTGTGTTGGTGACTCAGCCCTCCAGCCATGTCATACACAGTCTGTGATGAAAGCTAAAACAAACCCCGTCTGGGGTTCAGATCCAAGAGGGACCTCTCAGTTCCCTCTACTGTCTTTCAATTTGTCCCTGCTCTGAAATAGAGTAGTGAAGCAGGGCTCCTTCCCTATAGGCAATGTCTTTGCCCGCTTAGGGCTTTGGGCTGCTATAGTTCGGTTCTCCTTCTGGGCACCTCAAAGTTCAAACCTGTCCCTTCCACACTGGCTCCTGGGGAGTTGAAGTGGGGAGATGAACTCAGATCAGCAGCTGTCTGCTGTGTCCATCAAGTCCCACTGTAGCTCTAATTCCCTAGGCCACTTCCCCAAGCCCTGCACCATCTTCACCCCTACCTTATGGCTTCACCCCAACCAAAGGATTGGAATTTCTTAGCTCTTAATTATCAGGATGATGAGATTTGTATTTTTAACAAGAATATTTTCTTCCCAAACTGTTTGCCATCCCCTTTGAATTAAACATTTATTAAAAAAACCCAAATAATTAAACTGACTGACTTGACTAAAAATCCCTTTGCCCAGTTGTTCAGCTCTCATTTCTTGTACACTGGTGATGTTAGTTCATCCATAGAGACTTCCATTGAAAATAGGCTAGATAAATCTAGAATTTCTATTGTGTGTATGAATTATTACAAGATTTTATTTGATATATTAGAGTAAAATAAAAAAGTCACAAACCGACTGTTTCTTTTCCATATCCCATTTAAAATTCCTTATCAGTCAGCCTGGCATGTTGGTCCTGTAGCACAGTTAGGGCAAGTCTATGCAGCAGGGCTAAAGCCAAAATAAGCTACGCAACTTGAGTTATGTCAATTGCATAGCATAAGTCAAAATAGTTTGTCTGCTTTTGGTGCTATTTACACAGCAGGAAGTCTGAGAAAAAGCACTCTTCCTCTGACTTCCCTTACTCCTCGTAAGATGAGGGTTACAGGAATCGGAGTAAGAAGTCCTCCAGCTCTACATTATTTCCACATTATGTCGACATAACTGCTTGTAGTGTAAACACAGACTGTGTTATTTTGGAACAACATCAGTTATTCTGAAATAACACTTCTGTGTAGACGTTCCCTTAGTAAAACTTAGTACAGTAAACTTCCGATAATCTGGCACATTTAGGACCCAGGGGGTGCCGGATTATCAAATATGCCGGACTATCAGAAGGGGGGACTATGAGGGATCTGGAGTGGGGTGGGAGGGGACCCCTCATAGACCCCAGACCCCTCATAGCCCCCCCTTACAATAGTCCGGCTCTGCCCCAGGCGTCCCTGATTCAGCTGCTGCTGGTCAGTTTCAGCAGCAGCTAAATCGGGGATGCCTGCAATAGAGCAGCTGGGGTGCTGCCGGGTTGGTCCCGCAGCACCGAGGGGTGGCGCTACGGCACCAACCCAGCAGCACTCATATCCCCCCTTCCGATAGTCCGACATATCTGATAATCCGCCACCCCCTGGGTCATAAAGGTGCCGGATTATCGGAAGTTTACTGTATTTGAGAGGAGACTAAAAGAGCTTGACTTGTTTAACCTAGTCAAAAGAAAGCTGAGGGGAGATATGATTGCTCTCTATAAATACATCTTTCTACCAATGAGGGAAAGAAGTTATTTAAATTAAGTGCCAGTGTGTACGCAAGAACAAATAGATATAAGCTGGCCATTGAGAAGTTTAGGCTTGACGTTAGACAAAGGTTTTCTAACAATCAGAGAAGTGAAGTTCTGAATGGTCTTCCAAGGGAAATTATGGGGACAAAAAATTAACTGGCTTCAATACTGATCTTGATAAGTTTATGGTGGGAATGGTGTTATGAGACTGTCTACCATGGTAAATAGCCACTTTATTATTACTAGCAGCAAATATCTCCAATGGCTGGTGATGGGACACAAAATGGAGAGGGCTCTGAATTACTACAAATAATGCATTCCCAGGTGTTTGGTTGATGGTTCTTACCCACATGTCGAGCTATAATGTAACAGATGGCCTGGGTGCACCAAGCCTGTCCGGCTGCCCCAGCTCTTCCGGGTTCCTGATGGTGCCGGACCATCAGAAGTCCCGGAGCATTGGATGCCGGACTAATGGAGTTTTACTGTATTTTATATTGACTTTACATTCCAAGCTTCCATCTCATTTTTACATTTTATTTAAATTTAAATTGCTGAAATAGGCATGCTATTTTGTTTGGGATTTGGTGGGTTTTGTCCAAAACTAACAAATATTTTTAAGATGAACAATATCCTTCAAATCTAAAATATATGTTTTAAACCAGATATTCCCATCTGCAGGGCTTGACGAACCGCGGCGAAAGCCGCTCGCCAGCCCCGCACTGTGCATGCGCAAGAGCCACATTGCACATGTGCGCGCCGCCGGTAAACAGGGCGTGGGGCTGAGAACTACTCACCATGGGTGAGTAGATTCAATAGGTTGTTGAGCCCTGCCCCCAAAATTTTTTTTTGTTTTTTTAAGTAAAATATGTTAGGTAGTCAACAAGTATATACTTTTGTTGTTTTGTTTTTTTCCTGGAGGAGGGGAGTTTGTTTTTGGTGCTCTTTTGATTCAGATATTGACTCATGCCACATAAAAAAAGCCTGTATCGTTTAATTTTCCGGCAAGTTATGGATCCATCTATAAAATTAATTGCACATACATAGGGTTTTCTGATTTGCTTTTTAAGAGATGCAACACTTAATGAGTCTCATGCAATGTTTCTGTTCTTAATGCAAATAATGAAGTACAGGATGTTCAATCCAGCCAATTTAACATTGTAATGGATTTGGTTCATGATAGTGATTTTAATTGTGTAGTTTTTACATTACATTAATGTAGTTTTCAGCTATTCAAACCCAAATATATCCTTTTATAATATTACAGCTATGTGTTCTGTTTGTGAAAGAACAGAATTACAGATTTATTTTCTCCTTGTGTCATTAATTTTTTGGAAATAATTTTTAGTTTTAGTATAGTGATTAGGTATGTTCAAAATATTGTGCTATGTAGGAGATACCAGTATATAACTGTAATGTGATGGTGAAAACTTACTATATTGCTGATGTAATATACATAGGTCTCTCTAGTGGTGAAATGGCCACATTTATCCCAGAATATCACCTCTAGCCATGCTATGAGACAGGATTAGCTTTGGATAAATCTTCTTGATTTAATTATAGCTGATGAAAGGGGACTATGCTTCAAAGGAAGACTATGCTGACAACAGAGGACTGACCAACTTGCTTGTCTGATAACAGTGTGCTGCCATGCACTCTAGGACATTTGATTTCAATTCAGTCACTAAATGACACTACAGGCAGTCCCCGGGTTACGTACAAGATAGGGACTTGTAGGTTTGTTCTTAAGTT